CCGCCTTTGCTCGTAAGGTTGGGTGCCAAGTGGATGAGAGTCCGGATCCAAGATTGTGTTGGGATTGGTGAAGGCGTGTACCGTACGAATGGGAGAACGCGAATCAAGATCACGCTGGCAGGTTGTTTGGTATATTGGTTCAATATTTGGGTTGGAGACCTCGCTGGTCAAGATGCCATCCTCGGGATGGATTTCATGGTACCCAGCGGGAGTAAGGTTGGATCTGGCAGATGGGACACTGTGTTTCCCGGACGAGATGCGAATCCAGCTCAGCGGACGGCGACCGTTGTACGGGGCGAAGATGAGGATCATAAGGGCGGATAAGACGACCTGGATCGAGCCCGGAGAGACCTGGGAACTGCCAGATCGGCTGAAGTGGGTGGAACATGAGAAACGGTGGGTCACTCGGGGTGAGAAGTGGGTGCCTACAGTAATCCAAGGACCAGGTCGATTACAATACCTCCGGGTCACGAACGTCAGCAACAAGAGACTATTACTGGACCATTATGAGGAGGTTGGGCGATGGTTGGTGAAGGACGGTATCCCTAGGCGACCTGGATATGTGTCAGTGGGATACCGTCGCTACAGAGAATGGCAGAATCTGGCGTACGAGGCGACTACTGTAACGGGCCAGGTATTTACTCCGTTACTTGCTTACACTATAGTGTTGAGGAAGCTCGCAATAGGACGACTGAGTCTTAGGTTTAAGGAAAAATCAACTCTGACTTTATTTTAGGACCAAGGCCACAGCCCTGGCCACTCAAATACACGTCATAGTCCAATTGGATATAATAATGGGTCTGGCTCTCCATATATCATTCAATTGACAATGGCAGCATTTCAGCACACGCTAGTCGTGTGCTGATGCACCTACTTATGTAAAGAAATCTACCTACCTATGTAATGGAGGGGCCCATTACATTACCCCCTCTTAAGTTGCACTTACGCAACATAAGCACGGATGAAGAACATTGGAGAAGACTGCTGGAACGGCGGAGATGGCGGCGACACTCGCGACATCAAGCCGCAGGCGTATCATCAAGAGACACCACGCTCAGCAGCGAGCGTGCAGTGCGAGAAGCCATCTCAGACAACAGCTTGGAGGCCACCGGCGCTAACGCTGGTGTCGACACCCGTGGGCTTCGAGGAGTCAGGTGAGGTTCTGGTGGAGTGGATCTTGAACCTTTGGAATTGTCCTGAGGCGCATCGAAATCTTTGCGACGTCGTGTCCGAGCGGCGAATGGAGCATGCTCACGCGCAGTACGCGTGGAAATCGATTCCCACGGAGATCAAACTCCGCGACAAGTGTTTTTGCAAGTGTTTTTGCAAGAAAACGCTGGCACGATGATCACAACAGACGCAAAGACTGAGCGCCGACTGGAGACTTCCTTATGCTTGGGGATACGCTCATCGTGGAACATCCACGATGTTCTAGCAGACACGAGGATCACGAAGACAGCGCACGAGGTACTTGAGACCGCGAATACGGGGACGACAACCACTTCACTCAGTTGACTGAGCGACGATGTGCGACTGCACAGCGTACGGAGAAGTATCCTGTAGACCCAGGCGACTGCGACGTCGGAATATAGGTGACCTGCGAGCTGGGGTTTCACTCGTCGTCGTGAAACCTCGCGTCACTCACGCACGCACTCACTCACTCACTCACTCGCTCACTCACTCACTCACTTGTTCACTCGGCTTTCTCACCGAGTGGCTCAGCGGTACAGTACCGAGTTCTCGTGTAGCTGGTCACCGG